TCTATGGGTTGTCTACTTTTTTCTTCAGACTTAAAAGTTTTAGCTAATTTTTTGGGATTTTTATTATTTGAGCTTTTTATTTTCTTTTGATTTTCCCTAATACTCCGTTTTTCTTTTCTTTCAAGTTTCCTCTGTTCCTTTTTACGCTCCTCTTCTAATTTTTTTTCCATTTTTTCTTTTTCTATTTTTCTTCTATCTGATGAAGTTAGAACAAATGGAAGCTTTTGAGTTTCCTTGTTTCCTTTTCGTGCTGGAGTATCTGGCCATATTAAGCACGTCACAATAGATTTATTTGTAGCATTTACAGATATATTTTCAGAAATGTTTAGGGATTTATCGGGTTTTTTGGTTTTTTGACCTTCTTTAACCGTTTTTGTCAAACTTGATTCAGCTTGATTTGTATATTCTTGTATTCTTTGCATGTTGAAAATTTCATTCTTAGGTACCATTAAGGTTTCATTCTCGATTTCAGAAATGTTTAAAATTTCAATATCATCTATTATTACAGGTATATCATTGATATCAAAAATTACTTCACTTGTGTCTAAAAATTTTACTTCTTCGTCTAAAATATTTTCTTGTTCGTCGTTTGTAGAAATTTCTACCGATGATTTTTCTGTAAATGCTGAAAAGATTTGTTTTAATATTTGGTAATCATCAGATTGAGTTTTACTATTATTTCGACATAGCTCTTTAATTTTGTCATTGCCAACTATTTCACGAAATTGTTTATAAGAAATTGTTGTATTTGGATCAATAAGTGTTGGTAAATCATTGTGCTTATCCAGATTATCTTCAGTTTCAAATTCTTTCCCAAGACATTTTGAATAGTCAACAGTAGAAGAATTCCAAGGAAATATACCGCATGCCCTAAACCCACTTCTGAGAACATCTGGACTTAACCTATTTATAGCAGATTTTAAAACAGGGGCAAACTGTACTTTCGTTAACACTTTTTGGGGGTTGTCTCTCCTAAACTGAAGCACAGCTTTGTTCCAAAAAGTTTTTAGATGCTTAAACGCAGCCACAACCAGCGGATGTGTTATAAGAATATACAAATCAAGCTGAATCAAGTTTGACAAAAACGGTTAAAGAAGGTCAAAAAACCAAAAAACCCGATAAATCCCTAAACATTTCTGAAAATATATCTGTAAATGCTACAAATAAATCTATTGTGACGTGCTTAATATGGCCAGATACTCCAGCACGAAAAGGAAACAAGGAAACTCAAAAGCTTCCATTTGTTCTAACTTCATCAGATAGAAGAAAAATAGAAAAAGAAAAAATGGAAAAAAAATTAGAAGAGGAGCGTAAAAAGGAACAGAGGAAACTTGAAAGAAAAGAAAAACGGAGTATTAGGGAAAATCAAAAGAAAATAAAAAGCTCAAATAATAAAAATCCCAAAAATTAGCTAAAACTTTTAAGTCTGAAGAAAAAAGTAGACAACCCATAGAAATAACCTCAACAAAATTAAAAAAATGTGTAACAGTTCACATTCCTATTGAAAAATATCAAAAAAAAGATAAAAACAGCATTGAACGTGTTTTCTCCTCTAAACCAGGAAAGTAGAAGTAACAATATTGAGGTTTTTGAGCCACCACTACCTGAATTTGTCAAAGTTCCAATACCAGAATCTCATTCTCACACAAAATCATCAAGCTGTAAATATCCAAGATAATATTGACATTTTCAAGCATTCACCTACACCAGAAGCGAATTTGAGATTATCTCCGAAAATATTTCTCGCCCAGACTAAATCTCCAAGCCCTGAGCAAAAATTGTACCCAAACGGAAATTATTTGATGATAATACATATCAGTCCTCAACAAAAATTACAATTCTATCTGATAATTTATTATCAAATATTCCTCCACACTTTGAAAATCGAAACTTGGTATCAAACGTTCTTCCGCGTTTTAAAAATAAAACTTGGTATCAAACATTCCATTACATTTTAAAAACCAAAAAGTTACTAAAGGTGCGTGTTATCTATGTGTACTAAATATTACAGAGTGTAAAGAAGGCATTAGATGCCAAATGTGTCTTAGAACATATCATGTAACTTGCATAGCAAGATTCTATGGCAACACAGATCAAGTATATGTTCGCGAATCTTGCCAAAATAAAAAATAAAAGTTTACTTTGACATGTGTTTTTTTTTGTGTCCAGATTTATCACAAAATCCTTGCTTACAAAAACACCTACCTACCTATCTATTTTAACTTACTAATTATTTGGTAAAATATCTCTTTAAAAAATGATGACCAATCATTAATACATATATGGTGTCAATAACTGGAACTGGGTGGCGAATAACTGGTTCATTTGCACGGTTACAAAAGAACACATATAAAATATTTTCACACATGAAATATTAACGTAATAAAATTTTGCAATATGTAGAAATAATAATAAAATTCCATGGTGTTAAAAATAGTTACAATAGACCACAGTGACAAAACATTTTATAGATATATCGACGTGCTCTCCTTAAGAGGCCAATAACCGGTGCTCTTACCCTATAGGTTTTTGTTACAGAGGTCCACACTACTCAAAACAACTGTCGTTTGCATGGCCGGTTCAGTGTCACAAGTGTACTTTTTTTTGCTTATTTCTTTGGTCTAGAACTTTTACTTATTGGGGACATATCCAACTATAAATCAATTAAAGAAACCAAGAAAAAAAATTTACGAAAACTGGAAGCTTTAAATGAAGAGAATGATCGATAAAAAGATAAAGAAGACAGAGAATCCAATATATAGATAGAGAGACCAATCATGAATGATATTAAGGAACAATAATTAAAAATCAAAATATTAAAAATTTGATTATAATTAAAACAAAATATGCTCAAGAAAGTTTATAATAAATATACTATACATAAAGTATTTTAATTTCATTTATATTAAATAAGTAAATTTAAACTAAACACAAATTTTTAGTACACAGTACAGAAATTGCCGAACTAATATACAGTCCTCTCTCTCTATAACGATATGCAAGGGACCGGAAATTTTCATCGTTATAAGGAGAGATCGTTATACAGAGAGAGACAAAATTCGGTACTATGATATTAATAATACTGTACTAAATAACCTATTTTAATTTAAAAAAATTATCAAAACGAATATAAATGACTTAACATTGTATTCCACATAGATTTATTAACGAATAATATAAGCAATACAGTATAAAAAATGACTGCGCAATTAAAACATGTATACTGTACAATAAAAAAATAAAATGCTACTGTAAAATATATTTAGCCTACATTATCAAAAAAATCTGTCACCTTGGTCTGTCTTCTTTTCCCTTTCCACAGAACTGACCTGACCTTGTCCTGAAGACGTATCGAATCTTCTACAGCACTCATATCGTCTTCCTGGTGGATGAAAAATCGATGCAGTACTTTTGCCGCATCCAATGCCTGCTGAGGGGTCGGAGCTGGTTCTGACTCTGCTTCCACTTCAGAGTCAATGTTTTCTTCTTCTTCTACACGAACTGCTTGCAGGATGTCCTCGTCAGAAAGTCCAGATGTTGTAGCTACATTTTTATCAACTTCTTCAAAATCTGTTAGCTCTTTCGGTCCGTAGGTGAGAGTAATTTCAAACTGTCTGGCCCAAACATCTAATGGCAGGTCATCTTCATCATAAGCCAATCCTTGATCTTCCAGCCATCCTGCGTGTTTGAAGGAATGTTGTATTGTATTACTCGTCACCTCGTCCCAGGATTTACTAATCATTAGGATGGCGTCAAGAATGTTTAGTTTAAGATCGCCATTATTCTCAACCAATGCCATCAAAAGTCTTCTCCTGTAATGGTTTTTTAAACTCTTGATGACACTTTGGTCCATGGGCTGAAGGACACTCGTTGTGTTTGCTGGCAGAAAACAGAGTTCGATGTTTTGAAGGTCGTGCAATACAGGATGAGCAGGACAATTGTCTACAAGCAAAAGAATTTTTTTTCCTTTAAGCTCGATATCCCACTTTATTATCGCTTCTTCAAAAATTTCCGAGGTCATCCACGCACTCTTGTTTGCTTTATATGTCACCGGTAGATTTTTTATGTTTTTAAAGCAACGCGGGTTTTTCGACTTCCCTATCACTAACAATTTTCGCTTCACCGAACCTGTCATGTTAGCGGCTACTAAAACTGTAATGCGTTCCTTAGAGAGCTTTCCACCAACACACTTTTCCAATTTAAATTTTAAAGTTCTGTTGGGTGTCATTTTAAAAAACAATCCAGTCTCATTTGCATTGAAAATGTCTGACGTATATCGTGCCTTCAGTCCAGGCCACACGTTTTCTAGCCAATGATCCGTTACGTTTTTGTTAACATCGCGAGCCTCTCCGCTGATTTGGCCGTAGTTGATCTTGTGCCGCATCTTCCACTTACTCAGCCAACCCTCAGATGCTTAAAATTCTCAATTCCAAGTTCAGTTGCAAAAAATTCAGCTTTTGTCCTGACCACAGGCCCAGAAAGTGGAATATGGTTCATACGCTGCTGCTGGAACTACTGAAGCATAGCGCGATCTAAATATTCGTGCTGAGATTTCCGCAACTTCTTCCTGCTACCTACTTCTACGTCCGGTGATACTTTTTGTTGATGGGCATAAAACACATTTAACTCTACAGACAAGTCAACTTTGTACAGACTTAAAAATTATTTTATTAGCATTATATCCTAATGCAACGAGATTATTTTACTCATACCATTTTCAATTAACTCTAACGCTTTTTTAAGATCGTCTTCGGAATACTTTTTTTTTATAATTGTTTTCAGTTTTAGATCGTTTTGGCATATTTTCTAACACAATTTATAATAATTAGTTATTGGCCACATATAAAACACTAGTTATTAACATATGTCAATCACTAGATTCTTACAAAATCTAATGTTTCAGTTATATTCGTTATGCAATTTGGAACAGGACATACACTTTATTCTCAGAAAAACATAAAATATAAAGTAGAAAGTAAATTGCAGTATATAGTACTTACCGACCAACACAAGTTTTTGTAGGTAAATAACAAAATTTCGGTTGCAAACTAGCAGCACAGAACAGTGTCTTATTCAACATCGAATACTGACTAAAATTTAATGGTTACCTTGAGACTAGATATGTCATACTCTAGTAGACATGTTGCCAAACCAAAAAAAAGTAGTTAGAATTAACAAAATTCCAACGTTTTCCTAATTCTAATGAAAACATATTAGTAGGCCAATAACTAGCACATGACCAACAACTGGTGCATTTACCTTATGTTTCCTGCAGTCGATTTTTTGGACTTAATTAAGTAATTATTTGCAAAATAAAGTCAAAAACAGTAAATCTTTGCTTTTTTGTCTATCAGCAAAAAGTAAAGCGTTTGAAACAAATTTGAGAGGAAACGAAACTTATAAGCCATATAAAACCCTTTAATATGGCATTTTCTAAACGTTCCTCCTATCCCTATTTGTTGCTTAGATAGTTGCATAATACGTCAAAATTTTGGTTTTTTATAAATGTTAATACCTTTTTTTAAAATAAACTTCTAACCTTTATATTACACACAATGTTGGGTCTTGTGGTGCTGAGATCAAAATTTCAAGTCGATCGCTAAAAGAGTTTAAAAGTTGTTTAATTTGTTTTTCCAACTAAAATTTTTTGCAACAATTTAAGTCAGAAAATTAAATAACTATATTAAATATATGGATATATTCTAAAAGAAGAAGATTTATTCTATTAGTATTATTAAAAAAAAAATGAGGAATAAGAATTTTAAATATTGCAAAACAAAATAATTTATAATGCATGTCAATTTTTAACTAATAAACAATTAGAATGCCGTTTTAACCATTAACTGCAAAAAAACTCATTTTTTTTATATTTTAACAGCCTGAATTTTTTTACAAATTTAAAGGGAAAAAAAGTTGACCTAGAACACTTTGGGGCGAAGTTAGTGCCTTTTTTTATAAATAGATAGCAGCTTTGTTTATAACGATTAAGGTACCTTATTAGGGTCGTCTGAAAGAACATACTGTATGGTTCTAATGTAAAAAATTCGAAAAAGATTACATTTTAATGGAATCGTTCACAAAGCTTCAAAATTGTGGTTTTCAGAATTGGTCGGCTTTGAAGCTGGTGACGATTAACTGTATCTCTGTTTCTTGTTTATATATTTTAGGAGTCATCTCCTAAAACTGCTCCTAAAGATAATTCATAAGAGAATCTACAAGCTCTGTGAAAGTCAAATTTCCCCCAACCAGTTCGGGTTCACAAATGCTGTTGCTACTAGAGAGGCTTTGTTCTCAGTACAAGTGTTATTTTAGAGATGCAGAGACGTCAACTGCGACATATACGCATGTCTGGTTGATTACGAGAATGCGTTTGATCGAGTATAGTACGCCAAGATTATGCAAATACTAAAATGAGCAGGAATTTAACAACCAAGATCTGAAAATAATTAGAAATCTTTACTGGAATCAGACAGTAAATCTCAGAGTTGAAGGTGAACACAGTGAACACAGTGAACACAGTGAACACAGTGACTATGTGAAAATCATGCTGTATTTTATCTCCTCTAATCTTCAATGTGTACTCTGAAAGAATATTTATCGAAGCTTTGCACGAATCTGAAAAAAGTATTCTACTAAATGGTTATCGGCTAAACAACATCAGATATGCAGATGACACCATAGTATTTGCGAACAAGTTTGAAGACCTACAAGTTCTTATGAACAAAATCACGTATTACAGTCAACAATATGGACTTAATATAAATATTAAGAAGACAAAGCTTATGATTAGACTTCGGCAAATATGCATATTGCATATTTTGCATATTGTGCAAATTTTATTCAAATATTTCATATTTTGGCATATTTGTATAAAAGTTTGCATAAAGTGCATAAAAGTTCAGATTTTTATACTGTATTTGAAAATTTTTAAACATACCAATTTATTTCAATTCTTGTATAAAATCTTGTGGTCATTTTAATCAAGAAATGATCTAAGTACGTAATCTCTACAGGTACAAAACATTTACAATTTCAAAGATCAATTTAAGTAGCCCTCAACATTCTTAGAAAGTCTCGGTCACTGAGGCATTCAGTTATTGGATAATCGCTAAGGGTTCGCTCATTTGCATTTTATGATCTAATCCCCAAATCTATCTACAATTTATTGTCTCTTAACAGCAGGTAAACGGCTAATAGTTTTGTTCCTAATTTAGGGATTTTCCAAAATCTCCCAGTTTATTGAATTAGATACCTAAACATTTCTAATTTGATGCTCAAATGTGTAAATCATTTTTGTTTTGATATTCAAAGCGTAAACACTCGTTGTGCGTAACAAAAAGGAAGATTGTGTTTTATAATGCCTAAAACAACCAGTGCTTCAACTTGGATTAAACCTTATAAAGAGCTGTCTATGGATATGGGAAAAATCTACTGGTGAGTCTGTGGCAAAATTGTAAGTATCTAATATTTTCTATTAAATATCTAATATTTCATACATACAGGGTGTTTCCAAATGACACTTACAACGTTTGACTGTAGATACTTCTCGAAAAATTGAACAAAACGATATAGTTAATGAGGGGTCAAACTTATTTACTTTTCGAGATACAGGGTGTTAAAATTTAAAAAAATTAAATTCTTTTAGTTTATAACAACAATAACTTTAAAACCAATAAACGTATTTACTTGAAACTTAGTACTCGTAGGTTGTTTTTAAATGAAAAATAGCTTCCTTTAGTGAGAAAAAATTGTCCATGGTACAATACAATGGTGTGTATTTAGAAAAATTTTTCACCTTTACTTTTTTTATGAAGTCAGCTATTCTAAAACACAATTATTTTTATTGTAATTGAATTAACAAAAAAAAACTTTTGTTGAATTTTAAAATAAGTTATATGATGTACTAATGGTTAGTAACAAAAACTAATTTGTGGATTAATACTGCATTTAAAACACTTAGCGAGTGTTTTTTTTCCAAACCAGTTATTTGATTAACCAAAAACACCTTGTATATTTTTATATTTTAAAGGTTGGGTTAAAATAAAGGTTTGTATTTTTATTTATAGATAGCATGTGAGAAGAAATTTCAGATAGACCAACATGTGAGAACTGCTTCACACATTGCAAAAAAAGGAAAAATAGGAGGAAAACATCAAACTTCAATGGCTAAATGTTTCCAATCTACTTCAAAAAGATTAGATGAGCAAGAAACTTTTAATGAAGACTTGTGTCGCGCATTAGTGTCTGCAAACATACCGCTTTCAAAATTAGCAAATGTAAATTTTAGTTCGTTTCTAAAAAAATATTGCAAAGTTAATGTTCCAAGTGATCGGTCTCTAAGAAGAAATAATGTGAACGGGCTATACTCGTCGGTGTTAATTAATATTAAGGAAGAAATTGCAGATAATTATTTTTACATATCTGTAGACGAAACCACTGATTCCTCAGGAAAGTATATTGCTCATTTATTGATTGGTGTTCTTAAAGAAGATACCTTACCAAAATCTCATCTTATTTCATGCCAGCAACTTGAGAAAACAAATGCTTTAACAATTTCGCGTTTTATACAAGAAACATTAGCAACTTTTTTTCTTCCGACAACTATTCCTTCTAATAAATTACTGCTTATTTTATCGGATACTGCTCCTTATGTCATTGTTCGAAACTACAGCATTAATAAAAGAATTTGCGTCATGTTGTCGGAACGTTAGAGGTAATATTGGAAAAGATATTTTAAAAAAATTTGAAGCTACTATGGAAAAAAATAAAGGTTACCTTATTCTTTCTGAAGTAGTCAGTGTTCTAGCTGGAAATAATTCGGAAACAATTAATTTAGAACCAAATGTTTTGGTTAGTTTGAAAAATGCTCCCGTTACATCAGTTGATGTTGAACGAAGTTTTTCCATATATAAATATATGTACTCAGACAGAAGCCACCAGTTTTTGTTAGAAAATTTTGAACACCACTTGATGATGTATTGTTACCATAATTCTAAATAAGTTTATTCATACTTAAAAATGATGTAGTTACTTAAAATAAATGTAAATCTTAATGAATAGTAGGAAATATTTAGTTATGTACACTTTTTTTTTTAAATAAAATTGTTACTATTTTACGATTTTTTTATTTATTTGTATGCATATTTTGTAAAATATTTGCATATTTTCGGATAAACACGTGCATATTTATGCGCATATTTTCTACATTTTTATTTGCATATTTGCCGAAGTCTACTTATGATAATTAGCAAGAAAAGGATAACAGAAGGTCAACTCTACGTCTAATCTTATGTAGAAAGATTGACTCACTACAACTACCTCGGCACCATAATAAATGAAGAATGGACCAACAACCAGGAGATTAGAGCACGTACCGCAAAATCTAGATCCACTTTCAATCGGATGAGAGCCTTCTTCAAGAGTCACAACCTCTCTCTTGATAAAAAAGTAAGAATGCTGCGATGCTACCTCTTCTTTGTTCTTTTTTATGGTGTTTAATCGTGGACCTTGAACGAAGATATGTGCAAAAAACTGGAAGCATTTGAGATGTGGCTATATCGGAGAATACTTAAGATCCCATGGACTGACCGAGTCACAAATGAGGAGGTCCTCAGAAGAATTAATAAGAACCGAGAGGTACTGACCACTATTAAAACTCGAAAGTTACAATTCTTCGGACATATTATGCGAAATGAATCCAGATATGCTCTCCGTCAAGCCATCCTGCAAGGAAAAATATTTGGAAAGCGAGGTCCAGGAAGAAGAAGAACATCTTGGTTAAAGAACCTCAGAATCTGGTTCAATACAACATATACATCTGCTGCAGATAAGATAAAGATTGCTATGATGATCGCCAACATTCGTAACGGACAGGCACATCAAGAAGAGGATAGTTATGTGGAAATACAAATTTTCACACATCAAATCTGATTATTTTTAAACATAATTCTAATGTGATCTTTACATGGAATGACTAGTATTTTGTTTAATACTGGTGGTTATCCTATTGATGCAACATGTAATATTAATTTATATTGTAGTAACTCTAGTAAACATAATATGTGGTTATATCTCACACAATGTCAGTCTTGA